TGCTCTGTGATGTGACCTGAGCGCTTGGGGATGCTCCACATGGTGACCTTAGTGCTTGGGGATGGAGCACGCGGTGACCTGAGTGCTCAGAGAAGCTCTTTGAGGTGATCTGAGTGCTTGGGATTCTCCATGCACTGACCTGAGCTCTTGGGATGCTTTGTGATGTGATCTGAGCACTTGGGGATGCTCCATGCAGTGACTTGAACACTTGGGATGCTCCACGCAGTGACCTGAGTGCTTGGGGATGCTCCTGTGCCAGCTCCCAGCCAGGCTGGGCTCCCAGTGGATACAGTGCCATGTGTGGATCCTGGCAGAAACACAGGTGATGCATCTCTGAAAACACATCCCTGTGCTTTCCTACTCGGCTGGAGGGGATTTCCCACCCGCTGGCGAGTGTGCAGATGGTGTAGTAAAGCAAACAGCAGCTTAGGGAAGAGGAACTCAGAGCAGCCTCCTGGTGAGTCATTTTGCTGGGGATTTCACCTAAAACATCCCAGGGTCCTGGAGAAGCAATCTGCATGAAATCTGGATTTTCTGTGTCTAGAATGATGGGTTTGTGTCTGGAATGATGTTCTGTGGTTGTCTGCGTGGCTGAGGAACGGTGCAAGTGCCTCCAGCTCTCAGTCAGCCCACACTGGTGCCTTGCCCTGGGTCTGGCTGGCAAAGTGATGGTCAGTGTACAGCTTTCTTCAGCCTGAGCTCTGAAGGTGCTTTTCACCACAGCCATGAAGGTGCTGTGTTGGAGTCAGATGCTTGTCTGCAGCTGTGACACTCATTCATCATCCTCATAGAGGCTGGAGTTATATGTCCTCGTGCTCTCTCTGCTCCAGCATCAGGAGGGCATCAGAAAATATCCCAGCATGACCTGTAGTCAGTGGTACTGCCAAGGACAAGACCTTTGGTGCTCAGGAAGTTTCATTACTGCCCTTGTTAAAAATGGAATTTATCTAAAAGGGGAAGAGTGGGTTGCTCAATTTCTGTTTCCTTACTTAATAAATCACTTGAAGGAAACAAAGGAACAAAAAAGACGAAATTTCAGTTTGGGTGTAGATGTGGAAAGGCAGTGAGATAATGCAGCAATGGCCTAAAGCTGATCTGGACAGTGAAAGCTGCAGCTGAGGGGATGTGGTGTCTTATGAGTTAAAAGAAATCAGCCACAGGAAGCTGAGAGGGCTGTGCTGGGAAATGTCAAACGGCTGATAACACAGGCACTCACTTGAATATGAACTGATGTTGTTGAAGCTCTGTGTGTATTTTAGGTAAAGGTGTGTCCAGCACCTGTTAGAAATGAAACCTTCACTCCTGTCCTGTTGCCTCTCACCAGTTTGCATACTGTCAGACCTTTATTCTGTTTTCTCAGTGAAGCTGTGCAGCAGTTCCAGCGAAATCATTCAACTCCCAGCCCTTCTGGGACATAGCACTTCCTCAGAGCACAGCACATTTTGTATGTAAATGATTTAAGTACTCACACAGGCTTAATTAAAAGGGAGGTTTCTTTCCACAGGCTTTTGTTTGGGTGTTTGTTCTCAGTGTTCCAGAACATTTAAGGACAGACTGGACGTGGCACTTAGTGCCATGGTCTGCTTGACAAGGTGGTGTTGATGTTCTCAAAAGGTCTTTTCTAGCCTGATTGATTCTGTGATATATCAGGGAGTGTTAACTCCCCTGGGAACACCTTGGGGCAGGAGAAGATCATCTGTGATCCTGTCCTGATGAACTACCCTGAGAGTTCCACCTGGCTCTGGTGAGCCATGGAATGGGTTGGGTTGGAAAGGTCCTTAAAGATCATCCAGTTTCAACCCTGGGAGATGAAACTTATCCTTACATTGCCCAATGTGCTTCCCACCAACCTCTGCCACACGGAGCATGCATTATCCTTACATTGCCCAATGTGCTTCCCACCAACCTCTGCCACGCGGAGCGTGCGGGAGACAGCTGGAGTGAGCACAGACTGCAAGAGAAATGCTGTAATTAGTGCAGAGGCAAAAGCTTTCCCCAGGGACACAGAGGAGCCCTGAACTCCTCGTGGGATCCTGGGATGGAAAGTGGGTGCAGCATTGTGAAAGGGAGTCAGGCCAGATGGCAGCTGCTGTGGTTTGTTCCTCCTTGTCTCGTGCTCTGTCTCTCCTTGAGCAAGAGAGGTGGTTGGTGACATCTCTGGTGGCACCACACAGTCTGGTAACTGATACCCTCTCCCACACGTGGGTTTGAGCTCCTTTGGGCTGGGGAGGGAACTTAAGCCCAGGCTGGGCAGGTCTGGGTGGCTGTTCCATGCTCAGAGCTGCTCTGCAGAGATAACCCCTCTCTTCTCCCAGCTCTTATTAAAACACCCCAAACAAACCATTCTGGTGTTTCAGCCTAGAACGGAGTGTTGGGCACCATGTGCCAATTATCTCTGCGTTTCAGAGCTGGAATTTTTTTTTGTCTTTTTTTTTTTTTTTTTTTTTTTTTTTGTCTTTTTTTTTTTTTTTTTTTTTTGAGCCATCCCCCTCGCAGCTGCTTGTGAATTAAACCATTTTCTGGTGGTGAATCGCAGGCTGTAGCAGAGTGTGGCGTGAGCAGCGACGTGTCCTTGTGCTGATGAGTAAGCAGAAGGCAGGACGTGCTCTCTGGGGCTGGGAATTGTGGCTTTGCCAGCCTGTCAGGAGGCTGCAGCGTGGCTGGGTTGGATTTCTGAGCTAAAAAGGCTCTTTCCTTTTGCTCCTGTCACTCGTCATTGAGGCAAACACTCTCCTCGCATCACCCGCCTTAAAGCTGAGCTAAAAAGGCTCTTTCCTTTTGCCCCTGTCACTCGTCATTGATGCAAACACTCTCCTCGCATCGCCCGCCTTAAACGAGTCTTTCTAACGCAGCTACAAAATAGCAGCCGAAAATCCACTTTTTAAAGAGATCAAAGATAATAAGATTCACCTCCACTCAGCTCGAAAATCCCTTGAAACTATTAAAGCTCAGCCTGGCAACTCCTAAGCATCAAAGACTTTGGATGAACGCTACCCTTAAATAAAACCAGGTTTAGAGAACGCTTTGTTAGGTAAGGAAACCCCCAAGACAAAGTACTGAAAGCAGCGGAGGAGCCACCAAAAAAAAAATCCAAAGCAGATTTGGAGGAGGAGAGATGGTGTCCCAGGCTGTTAGAGCTCAGGGAGGGAGCTGAAAGCCGCGATGTGCCGAGGCTGGGGCCAGTGCTGCCTTAAGAGGCGGCGGTGTGGGGTGACGAGCTGCTTCCAATTGCAAGGCAGCAGCACATGACATAAGATGCTCCAGATCTGCCTCCTGGGCGCTAGTTTAAAAATAAAGGCTTTTCCACGTCGGGCTCGGTGCGGAGAGGCTGCAGGAGAGAGATGCGCTGTAAGGCTGAGGGATGGGGATGGGGATGGGGCAGAGCTCACCGTGGGAGAGTTTGTGGATTTAGCTGCTTTGGCTCTTGGTGCTTTCTCTAAGCTGCTGTTGTGGTGTGGGAAGGGATGTACCGTGAGGTTTAGGGTTGATTTTATTTATTTATTTATTTATTTATTAATGAACAGAGTGTGCTGTCAGGATTTTACTGTATTCTGTGAGAATGCAGCAGGCTCAAGTCTTCCTGCCTCTTTAGGGGTTGCTTTGCTCCGAGAGCAAGTGGGACCTGATTTTCTGTAGTGTTTGGTTGTGTTTGAGTTTCCAAACCTGTTTCCACAGGGACAATGCTGTGTGAGTCAGACACACGGATGGCACTGGCTGAACCGGTCCCCACAGCTTATTGTAATTCAGCTCCTCAAGGGAACTGTGAGGTGCCACTGGATGATGATGATCATCATGATGTTCTGCTCAACTCTTCGTCTAGGTCTGTCTCATTCAGCATTATATTTCATCTGTTGTGACCTCTATGTATACTTTGTGTTCTATCATGTCTATCTAGATGAATTTAAATCCTTCGGGAAGAGACAAAGCTGTTCCCTCTGCAGGGACAGTTTGTATGCAGTGATTTCCACCAAATTCCTGCTAGTAAGAGGCTGCTTAGATTTACAGAGAGGCTAAAGAGCAGATTAGTATTTAAGGGTCTATATCTCACCACAGCATAATGGGATCTAGCTGACTAAACCTCTTTACCTAAATTTTTTTCAGGCTGCATTGAATTACATGTCGTAAGGGGGAGAAAAAGATGACTTGATTGACTGTGAGGGAAATAGCTGGGGCTTTTTTTTTTTTGCTCATATTACTGGGTCATTTGCATGCTTTGATCATAAAAGCTGGTGGAGAAATGGTGCAGAACTGTTGCAACTGAGGATTAATTTGTGCTGAAAAATGTTCTCAGTAATGAGGAGGGAGTGTGTAGCCAGGAACATCTCGTAATCCCTTTGGGGGACATAAAGAAAATTATTTACTCAGCTCTGGTTTCTGGTTTGCAGATTAGTTCAGAGAAGCAGTTCTGGACAGTACATGGGATCAGCCATGTCAGATCTTCTCTGTGTCTTAAACCTTCTCATATGCCCCAAGCAGGAATAGTTAACTATTCACTAGAAATTCAGGGCAAATGTAAACTGAACATTCTCACTGTGACTGTGCTGACTTGTCTTCTCTCTGCTCTGGTAGAAAGGGAAGTAAATGTGGCACTTGGTGGGAGCTCTGCATGGGTTAGACTGAGCAGTTTGTGTGGGACCAGAGGAGCTCTCACTTCTGTGCAGGACAAGAGTCAGGGTCCCTTTTTGCCCCAGAACTGCCCTGTGGAGTGTTGGGGCTATAATGAGTTCAGTACCTTTCAGCCCTTCTAGCTGATCTGGGAATTGGTGCACCAAATGTTGCTGTGGGGAAGAGCAAACACCCAGTACAGGTCTGGAGAAACACCACCTGTGTAATGGCCTTGGGCAAACAGCCCCAGGAGGGCTGCTAAGCAAGGCAAGATGGAGATTTTGTGTCTCTGGAGTATAATCTTGGATCAGCTAAAACTTGGACTTTAGTGCTACAGTGATGACCCAGACAGAGTATTGCCCAGAGCAGGGGAACAAGCATCAGCTGCCTGGTTGGAGGGTGGGATGTCCTTCTGGGGACCAAATCCAAAATCTCACAGGATCTGTCTTCCAGTTTGTGTTCTCAAGTGGGACATGTAACTTGTTTATCCCTTATGATGACACTTAGGGCTCTGAGAAAGTCCATCTTGTAAAGGGATGGAGAAATAACACAGTTGTGCAATCGTGGACAAGTGGTGCTTCAGCAGCTCTTGCAGGGCTGAAAGTAAAAGGGATGAGTGTCAGCTGGGAGGAGCATGGCTGAGGGACATGGGATGTGTCTGTTTGCATGTCAGCACCAACATCTGGTGGGAGCCCCATGCCCTGGCTTTATTAGGAGTCCCTAAGAACAAGATTTCCTGTTAAATCAATTTCCTGACCTTCTGCAGGAAATCTCTGTGAGTTTTCCCATGGGGTGACTTGAGAGAGGCTGTGGGACCTCCCCCCAGTTAGACTCATATTGCAGACAGGAGATGAGCACCAGATCCATGTGCCCCTTCCTGCCCCCCTTCTCCTCCTCCTCCTCCTCCTCCTGCCAGCTGTGGACTCTGTTTCAGGCACCTGGAGCAGACCTCTGGATTTAAGTGATTGCTGTTTTCTGGTGTTTATGGATTCTCCTGCAGCTCCTCTGCAATGAGAGCTGCAATTAGGACAGCATACATGTGTTCTAAACCAGCACAGGCAAAGCTTGCACACTCTGAGGGACCTGTTCTGTTGCCATGGGCATGCAGGGTAGTCAATTAATCAAGTCCACCTGCAGAACATCAGGAACCACTTCGACATCCAAGGGCTTAGTAAAATTAAGTGATGGAACAAGCCTCAGCAGCCCTGAGTGTGCTCATCCAAGTCTCATTCCTTTTGCCTTGCAGAACTGCTGAGCCCCAGAGCATCAAGCCAGGGAAAGATTCCAACATGGAGAGATGTCAGAAGGACACGTGTGGTCTCAGAGGTGAGTGGAAAGAAGTTCTGGTTACTGTAGTGCACATAGAATTATTATTGGAATGAGAGAGGAATTTATCAAACCATCAGGATGGCAGAAGAAACACAGAATGCAGGACAGGCTGTCCAGAAGTGTCTTGAACTTGGACTTTAAAGCATAAATGTGCTTCAAGGAGTAAATAGGTAGTGTCAGTGCCTGATGCTTATCTAGCAGGTAACAATGTCCTGCCTTCAGTCCTCCTTAAGAGAGAAAAAACCAGCCAAAAATAGAGTATCTGATGCAAGAAGCTGCCACCTCACCAGTGCAGGAGATTTATGGCAACAAAACAGGCTAGAGGGGGATGTAAATGGGAAATGTTTAACAAAAAAAATGATCAGAAAGTGCTTTAGAGGCTTCATCTCTCAGTCCTGGGTGTTGTATGGCAAATTTGCCATGAAGAAAAAGTCCAGCAAGGGGGTGGGAAGAGATATAGCAGCATTTGCTTTTGTATGCTTGGTACTTATATTTATATTCCTGTTATGGCAAGAAATCTCTTAAGTCTAAGGTGCTGAACACTTTTTCTTTCCAACCAGCCTCCTCCCCTGCTGCCTGCAAGATGTGGACAGCACATCGGGACGGAGAAGTGAAGCTGAGGATGGATGAGCAGGGCATAGGCAGTGAGCCCCCCAAGACTGTCCACCAGCTGTTCCAGGAAGCTGTCAGTAAATACAGTAACTATTATGCCCTTGCATCCAAAAAGGGTGGCCAGTGGACAAAGCTGACGTATAAGATGTACTATGATGAGTGCTGGAAAGCAGCAAAAAGCTTTCTGAAGGTAAAGTTTTGTTGGATTCTCCTTGTTTGTATTCATGGGATCATAAAATCAGAATGGGTTGGGTTGGGAGGGACCTTAAAGCTTATCCTATTCCACCCTCTGCCATGGGCAGGGCAACTTTCACCAGCACAGGTTGCTCCAAGCCCTGTCCAACCTGGCCTGGAACACTCCCAGGGATGGAGCAGCCACAGCTGCTCTGGGCAAGCTGTGCCAGTGTCTCAGCACCCTCACAGGGAAAAAACTTAACTGGTTCTATATTAGCTCTTGGGAAGTTTTTCAGTGGGAATTACCTTATAGAAGAACATGAACTCTTCCCTGGATGCTGTGCTGGCAGCAGAGTCTGTAAATTACCTTGGAGCTTTCTTCAAAGCAAACTCAAGTCTGCTGTAATCTCCTCTCTTGTTTCCAGCTGGGGCTGGAACGTTTCCATGGAGTGGGCATCCTGGGATTTAATTCTGCAGAGTGGTTCATTGCTGACATTGGAGCTATCCTTGCAGGGTAAGAGTGAGCCTTGTCTCTTGCTGTGTGTTCAGCTTTGGCAGTCACATAGGACTTGCAGTATCCAAGTGAGAAGCAGGATTTGATTGAAAACCCCTAACAAAACAAAGCACAAAAATAACCCCCCAAACAAAATTGAATTTCATGAAGGAAACTAGGACCTAAACTCTTCAATGCATCATGAATTAATGAGACAAGAAATAATTTGGGTTATTTTAGCCAGCTTCTGCTCCCAAAGTGAGATGAGCAGTAGGTTAATCCAAAGGAATTCTTACGTACACTGTGAGTAAAAATATGATGGGAAATGCCAGAGAATCTCAGGCCTGGATTTTGATTTCTGCCTCCCACCTGGGGCACTTTGGTCCCTTACACTGACATTTCCCATGCCCCAAATCAGAGCCTTTGCTCTTGGAGTTTAACCCTCCATGATTTGTTGCTGTTTTATGGGATATTCTTCCTAAAATTCTTCCTTTGTTAGAGTTTGAAATGGTCTGAATTTTGCCACCGGCTCTGCTTGTCCTCTAATTCTGTATTTGGCTTTTCTGATTATTTTTTTTCCCCTTTCCTTTTGCAGGGGATTTGCTGTTGGGATCTACACCACAAACTCTGCTGAGGCCTGTCACTACGTAGCAGAGAACTGCAGTGCTAACATCATAGTGGTGGAAAACCAGAAACAGCTGCAGAAAATCTTAGAAGTAATTATGTTTTTTCAATGTCTGGGGGTTACAGCATTCTGTTGGCAGATGTGAGAGGGCAGTACCTGAGGGAAATGCTGGTTCTGGAAGCAGAGGTGAACTGGCTGAGCCCACTTGGTGTGCTCCCTGTTGAGGGAAATGCTGGTTCTGGAAGCAGAAGTGAACTGGCTGAGCCCACTTAGTGTGCTCCCTGCTCCAGTCAGATGAGTTGTCACTGGTACTAGGTCTCACAAGAGGTTAAGTGGTGACTTTGGGGCTTAAAGCCTTCAGCTTAAAATAGGAGAAGCCAAAGGGAACAACTGAGCATCCTCTAGGTTGTCTGGCAACATCCCAGCTCAAATTATAACACTCTTTTGTGAGGTTTCTCTGCTCTTCCAGTAAGAGATTGGATTCTCTTGGCTCTGCATAAAATGCAAGTGGCAGGAGCACATTAACTGGTGGCTTAGGTAGGCTTCAAAGGGACAAGCAGGATTTACTCCTTCTCACACATTTCCCTTCTTAACACAGGTTGAACACAAACTACCTCATCTGAAGGCCATTATCCAGTATGGAGAAGAGCTAAAAGAGAAGAGGCCAAACCTGTACTCGGTGAGTCCTGGGCATCTTCATGGCTTGTTAGTCCTGGTTGTGTTCAGCTGATGGTTACATGCCCCTCTGACCTTCCATGGGACCTGAAAGATCTGGTGGGTGGTTTCCCTGCCCATTGGAATGGGATGGTCTTGAAGGTCCCTTCCAACCCAACCCATTCTGGGATTCTGTGGCTGAGATCCCATGAGCTGCTGTTGGCTGTGGTGAGCAGTTGCTGTGTACTGTTGTGCAAACCTGGATAATCCCTGTGGTAAGGAGGGTGTTAGCCACTGACCTTTGCCAGGCAGCTTTGAGTCCCAGTTACTCCAGTGAGTAGCAGTGTTGCTACAGAGCTGTAGGCTGCTCAGAGTGGGTCTGGCTCCTTTCTACATCTCCCTGTGCCTCTTGTGGCAGCCAGAAAAAAGTGTGGGGCTGACTGCTTATTTACAGCCTCTTCCAGAGGTTTGGACATAGGAAACAGTTTCCTTCTCTTCGTGTGTAGGCAAGGGTTTAGTTTTCCATGTGACTGTGATTGAGCAAAGTGATTGAGCTCTTCTCTTCTCTGCACAGTGGAGGGAGTTCATGGACCTGGGCAGAGATGTCCCAGACACTCAGCTCCAAGAGATCATTGCATCACAGAAGCCCAACCAGTGCTGTACCCTCATCTACACCTCAGGGACCACTGGGCAGCCCAAGGGGGTGATGCTCAGCCATGACAATGTGAGTATCTGCCTGTACAGCTGCTGTCCCAGGAGCTGTGACCTCTGCTGGGGGCTGAGGGAGGGCAGAGAACATAGAATCACAGAATGTCCTGAGCTGGAAGGGACACACAAGGATCATCAGTCCAACTCCAGGCCCTGCACAGACACCCCAACAATCCCACCCTGTGCCTGAGAGCATTGACCAAACTCTCTCTGAGCTCTGTCAGCCTTGGGGCTGTGACCACTGCCCTGGGGAGCTGTTCAGTGCCCAAACACCTCTGGGGGAAGAACCTTGTCCTGATATCCAACCTAACCCTGGTCCAGTGCCCAAACAGCCTCTGGGGGAAGAACCTTGTCCTGATATCCAACCTAAACCTGGTCCAGTGCCCAAACAGCCTCTGGGGGAAGAACCTTGTCCTGATATCCAACCTAAACCTGGTCCAGTGCCCAAACAGCCTCTGGGGGAAGAACCTTGTCCTGATATCCAACCTAAACCTGGTCCAGTGCCCAAACAGCCTCTGGGGGAAGAACCTTGTCCTGATATCCAACCTAAACCTGGTCCAGTGCCCAAACAGCCTCTGGGGGAAGAACCTTGTCCTGATATCCAACCTAAACCTGGTCCAGTGCCCAAACAGCCTCTGGGGGAAGAACCTTGTCCTGATATCCAACCTAAACCTGGTCCAGTGCCCAAACAGCCTCTGGGGGAAGAACCTTGTCCTGATATCCATGCCAACCCTCCTGACACAGCTCAGCTGTTCCCTCGGGTCTGTCCCAGAGAGCAGAGCTCAGAGCTGCAGACCCTGATGAGTCTCCTCCAGCTGGACAAGCCAAGCACCTGATGCTGAGCTCACAGGACATGCTGGTTGTGTTTTGTGAGTGTATTCCATGTTTGCCTGCTTGGCAGTCGCATCGCTTACCCCTGTGGGTTCCTGTTGCAGCTGACGTGGACAGCAGCAGCCGCTGGGCGCTTCATCATGCTGACAGATGCCAAGGAAAGGCAGGAGCAGGTGATCAGTTATCTGCCCCTGAGCCACATTGCTGCACAGATGTCAGATATCTGGTCAGCCATGACGTTTGGAGTGCAAGTTTTCTTTGCTCAACCAGATGCATTGAAGGTAAAAACATAAGATATTAGTAAACCTATACTCCTCCACCTGCATGTAGCTGGGGTGGGTGCTTCAAACAAGCCTGGCTGATGGCTTGTTTGATGGATGATGGGCCAATCCCATGGTTCTGAGAGCTTTGCTAACTGGGTTTGCTTGCCCAGTGACCAGCTGCTCTGTTTGAAGGATTTGTTGGTTTGAGTGGAGCCACTCGGACCTTCACCTTTTGACTCTCTTGCAAGCTGGGAGAAGCTAACCCAGCACTTGACAACTGGGAGTTGCTGAGTGTCTCACCTGATCTGATGGTTTGGTTGAGCAACAGCTTTGTGTTTGCTCTGCCCACATTGCACAATGGCACCAGGTTAAATCTGTGTCATAAGAAAAGGATTCTTGGTGCTGTGTCAGCACTGGAAGCATCGACTCTTCCAGTCTTCCCAGTGTCCATTGGAATGTCCTGGGGGTTCCTTTCCTTTGGTGGCACTGCAGAAAATGAGGAATTTGTCAAAACTGATGGCAGAGTCCCAAGGTTTGGCTAGTGGCCAGTGCTGATCTGAGGTCTGCAGTGAAACACTCCTAAAACTGCATTAAATTCTGCTTCTCTCAGGGCAGCTTGGTGGAGACCCTGCGGGAGGTGAGGCCAACTGCTTTCCTGGGAGTTCCTCGTGTCTGGGAAAAAATGGAGGAAAAAATGAAATCCATAGGCATGAAATCATCGGCGTTCCGAAGGAAAGTGGCATCGTGGGCCAAGGGAGTTGGGTTGCAGACCAACCTGAAACGGATGAATGGGTAATTATGAGCTACAATTAAGGGGATGTTAATGAGTATTAGGAGGGCTTTATCAGATCAGGGATTATATTCCATTCAGGGATTATATCCCACATAACAGGCCAGATTTGTGGATGGCAAAGCCAGACACAGCGCTCAGATCTGAGGGTGAGCAGCAAGGGCTGGAGGGGGAAATAACTGTTTTACTCAAGTAACTAAACTAGGGTGAAGATGAAAAGAGGAAAGGGGAGAAGTTCTACTTGGAGGCTGAGCCCCTGTGCCCGTTTTCCCCTTCCAGGTATTCCGATGTCCCGGTGAATTTCCGCTTGGCCAAGCACCTGGTGTACAGGAAGGTGCGGAAGGCCATCGGGCTGGATCGCTGCTCCAAGTGCTACACAGGGGCTGCTCCCATCACCAGGGAGACCCTGGAGTTCTTCCTCAGCCTGAATATTCCCGTGTTGGAGCTGTATGGGATGAGTGAGAGCTCTGGGCCTCACACCATCTCCCTACCTCATGCCTTCAAGCTTGGCAGGTGAGGACACCTTTCGGGGAGCAGAGCAGTGTGCTGGGCAGGAATGGTTGCTTTGGGGTTTCTCCTGCATTTGGCACATCCATCTCTCCTGTGGAGCTTATTCCCAGAGTCTTGCTGCCCATAAAAGCTCACTGGGGAGCCAGTTTTGGAGCTTATTCCCAGAGTCTTGCTGCCTGTAAAAGCTCACTGGGGAACCAGTTCCTTTGGCCACATCTTGCAGATGTAGAGATCTGCTACTTAAATTGGACTCAGCTGGATTCTGTAGGAGCTGAGGAGGAAGTGAGTGAGGCTGGTGGGAAGAAGGAAGGGTTGGTAACTCTAACCTGACTCAGTGCAGTGAGGCTGAACTTGTGCTTCAAGTGGCTCGTTCAGTGCCAGTTCTGCACGGTAACTTTGCTGCCAAGGACATAATTCTTTTCTTTCAAAGCTCAGGTGTTGAGAACAATGAGTGGAAAACACCAGGTGTGAGCACTGATCTCTGCAATAACAACTTTTCCTCTAACTCCCTTACATGAGTCTTTTAAGTCACGAGCTCCTTGCTGAAGCCTTTGTACTAAAAGCTGCCGAGCTTTGTTCAAACTCCTCAGCTCAGAGGGTGCTGCTGTAATCTCTGCTTGAGATGAACTTAAAAGAAGTGAATGCTGTGGGTCTGTGCTCTCTTTAAGCTGTGGGAAGGAAGTCACAGGCTGCAGGACCCTGATCCATAAGCCAGACACGGATGGCAATGGGGAGATTTGCTTCTCAGGAAGGCACATCTTCATGGGCTACTTGAACATGGAGGAGAAAACCAAAGAGGCAATCGATGAGGATGGTTGGCTGCACTCAGGTGACCTGGGCAAGCATGATAAAGATGGATTCCTCTACATCACAGGCAGAATTAAAGGTAACTCATCCCCTGACTTCGTTGTCTTGAGGTTATGCAGCACTATGGGATCTCAGCCCTTAAGGCTGGGAAGGACCTTGGACTGGGAGTCCAAGCCATTCCCCCAGAACTGCCACATCCATCACTAAACTATGTCCCACATTGCCATATCCACATGTCTTTTAAATCCCCCCAGGAATGGTGACTCTACCACTGCCCTGGGCAGCTGTGCCAAGGCTTTTCACCCTTTGCAGTGAAGAAATCTTCCCCAATATGCAACCTAGACCTCCCCTGGCCTGGGGAGACCCTGCTAGTTGTGTGGTTGTGGCTTGCACAGAATATTCCAATCCTTCTCCTGGAGTTTCCACATGAACATGTCTGCAGGGTGTCCTGTCACTGAGCATGTGATATGGCATGTGGTGGGAGGAGAGGGGTGGCCCCTGGAAGCTCTGATTTCAGCAGCAGCAGTTAATGCTTCGTGGGCTTGTTCCACCTGCAGCTCCCTTGGTTTCAGGAGTTTTGCTGGGTGACCTCCAAGGGAAATAAGAGCTTAACATTGTTGTGCAAAGGGCTTGGAGCAATGTGGTTCTTGGCACACCACTTTGAACAACCCCAAACAAACACAGCATCATGCAAGGCTTCAGTGCTCAGAGGGAGAGATGGTGACATGAAGGGCTGCTCTAAGACATGTGAGATCACTGAAGAGAGGAGTTTGCTCTGTTCTGCATCACACTGCAACCTCCAGTGCTGCCTCAGCACACCTTTCACTTCAGTGTCTGAACAATTTGTGGGCCAACTCATGTGCCTTAGAGTCCAAGGTGACTGTGACAGGGTGCTGAGGGGCTCACCCCACATTCCCAGGCTGAAAACACCTCCAGAGCATTAAGACAGGGCTGTGTCTGTGCAAGGCTCCAGCTCCTCTCTCCTGGCCTGGCTGGAGCCAGAGAACCAGCATTAAGGTTGAAAAAACCCTCAAAGATCATTGGGTCCAACCACTAACCCAGCACTGCCCAGGCCACCACTAAACCATGTCCCCAAGAACCACATCCACACGTTTCTAAACACTTCCAGGGAGGATCATTCCACCACAATCCCAGTCCTGGTGTACTGCCTTCTCCAGATGTCAGGACACAGACTCACTGTTTGATCCAGTAGAGGAGCTACTGAGTTATTTCAGATTGCAGGAAGTGAAAAAACTCCAAGCCTTAATCAAGATTTGACTGTTTTCCAGAGCTCATCATCACTGCAGGAGGTGAGAACATTCCTCCTGTTCCAATCGAGGATGCTGTCAAAGAGGCTGTTCCCATCATCAGCAATGCCATGTTGGTTGGAGACAAAGCCAAATTCCTTGCTATGCTTCTGACAATAAAGGTAATGGAAAACAGGGTAGGAATCCACCTGTGTTGCTGAATGAGATTCACTTCCAGGGAGGAAGATCATTGTTACACACTTCCAGTGGGTTCTGGAGACAGGAGGCACAGTGGAGCATGACTTGTAGCTGAGCTGCAAAGAGCAGCTGTAGCCACAGAAAAGTTGTCAGTTGCTCACACAATTGAGTCCTGCTGCTGTTTCTGTGCAAGAAGAGATGAGGAGGAGACTTAAAAGTAAGGCTGAAAAAGGAAACCCTTGTGGTCTCCTTGCCTGTTTCAGTCTCCCAGAGCAGGCTGGGCAGTAACAAGCTGTCAGGGGTTGCTTTGTTGGCCTGTGCTGACTGTCTGAGCCCAAGCAGGGCAGGAGCTTTGCAGGATGGTGGTAATTGCTCATTAGTGAGGCTGAGAGCCAACAACCTTGCTCTGGGGCAGGAGACCTGAGCCAAGCCCTGGAGGTGGCCCTGGAGGTGACCCTGCTGTGCTTGTCATGATGAGTGCTGAGTGTGTTGACTTCCAAGACTGTTACACTGCTGAGGGAAGTAAACTGTGGTCCAGAAAAGATCTGGAAAAAAAAGTGATAAACTTTGGCTAGCACAGGAGGAATCTGGCAGATGAGCTCTGGATCCTGCTTGCTCCTTGGCATTGAGGAGGCTGTTTGAGCAGGCAGAGAGCTGAGGATTTCAAGCTGTGTTTTGTCCCAAGTGTCCATTGGCAGCCTGGATTTGCCTGAGAGCTGCAGGGAGTGGGAGGGACCCTGGGCAGTGTCCTGGGCAGCATCCTGGGGCTGGAGGCTCCTTAGTGCAGAGGGAATCAGGTGCTCAGCAATATAAAGTTACCTGTTCTGGCTTGTCTTGCAGTGCCATGTGGATGCAGAGACAGGTGAGCCAGGAGATGACCTCACTCCAGAAGCTCTGGAATACTGTCAGAAGCTGGGCAGCAAGGCCACAAAGGTCTCTGAAATCATCAGCAGCAAAGACAAGGCAGTCTATGCTGCTATCCAGAAAGGCATCACTGCAGTCAATGAGAGAGCTATCTCCAATGCCCAGAAAGTCCAGAAGTGGGTCCTGCTGGAGAAGGACTTTTCTCTCTTTGGTGGAGAGCTTGGTGAGTGGTGGGTGAGGCATTTGGGGGTCCCCCCTATGCCTCTTGCTTGGCTATTAAACACCAACAGAACCAGGATGCCCAATACATAGAGATATCCCTGGCTTTTCCTTGCTGTGGCTCTTTGATGCCAGTTTGGGGGTAGGGGTGGAATGAGTTGGGATGAATTCCCAGTTCTGCCCAGCAGCACTGAGCTGAGCAGTGCTGACCCTTGTTCTGCAGTGCCTCTTGCATGATCACAGAATATCCTAAGTTGGGAGGGACCCACAGGGATCATCAGTCCAACTCCAGGCCCTGCACAGACACCCCAACAATCCCCCCTGTACCTGAGAGCATTGGGCAAACACTCCTGGAGCTCTGTCAGCCTTGGGGCTGTGACCACTGCCCTGGGGAGCTGTTCAGTGCCCAAACACCTCTGGGAGATGCTGTGCTGTTTCTATTCACAGGGGAATGAAGGGAGAGTCAATTAGTTTCAGTTTTGGATTATGTTCTGCCTCTCCCTCCAGAACTAACTTGTGCTCACAGGGGTTCCCTCCCCATTAACCCGTGTGCTGCTTTCCCACAGGTCCAACCATGAAGCTGAAGAGACCTGTGGTGGCAAAGAAGTACAGTGCTCAAATCGCTCAGTTCTACGCAGACGTGGACACCCCCACAGGGGAGACCTCACCCCGGGCATAGTGCAGAGGCTTCATGCCAGAGACTGAAGCCAGCCAGGAGGACAATTCCCCAGCTCCCTGGGAAGGATTCCTTGGATTCTGTTGGAAGAAGAGGCTGAGCTGTCAAGCAGCCTCTGCCTCGCTTCGCTGTACATGTTTTGGCCTCACACTGCAGTGTGGTGAGTGTGGTGAGGCCTGTGTTCTCCTGTTGTGTGTTCCATGCTGAGATATTCCCAAATATCTCAGCTCTGTATTTTTTATTTCCATTTTTACAAGGGCAATACAACGTTTACCTTAAATCCATGTGAGATGTTACCTTCTGACCAAAGTTTTTCTTTTCCTGAGCTGAATGTAAAGCAGGAGC